TAAATAAATTATATATATATATATATATATATATATATATAAACTGTAAAATGATGAAACAAGAAATGCTGTAAAAAAACATTTATTTTATACTAAATAAAATTCTAGGCAAGTTTCTTCAGATGTGTTTGACTTTGGAAATGAAGTATTGGATTTCAGTGCATTTAAATAATAATACTGTAAGTGACATAAATAATGAGTTAAAAATAATATTTACATAGTCAAACATTAACCCCTACCTGGCTACAAACCCTTGGTATTATTATTATCATGATAATATGGTACGGTCATGTGACCTTTGATCACCTGGAGGTAGGCCTATAAAGAGTGGGATATCAGTGTTGTTCATTTGTCTGATGAAGAGCCTGCGTGCTCGAAACGTCACATATGCTATGCGACAGTTTTTTTTTTAAATAAATTTTTTGATATTTTTGGAGCTTTGGTGTTGCCGACTTTACATCAAAAAATTTTCCACTTGTTTCTTAGTCGAGCACCCAGTTGAGATTGATGTGCGTGCTTTTGCCTGCTCTTCACTATATTATTCAAAATATAAATCATATAATAACAAATATGATTTTATTCATAAAATATAGTAATATACTTACAGATATAATTTTGTAAATAGAAATATTTAAAATATGATATGAGTGCAACTATGTTAATTATGCATATATACTTATGTTTAAATATTTAGTGTTGGTGAGATTTTTTTTAATGCTTTTTTTTTTTTTCACGAATATAATTATCAATATATTGTTTAATAACATTAATTGATGCCTGCCTAGGTACATAAATACAAATCAATTTCCACTCTTCAGTACATAGGTATTGAAGTAGTGAAGTGTCCGCGTCGCGGAGGTGATATCAATAAATTGCTTTTACAGCGCGAAGCCTTTTGGATTTATACACTAGATATGTTGTCCCCTAGAGGATTAAATGAGGACTTTGATATTTGTCCATTTCTTTAAACACAAGATATCTATTTGTTTTTTTTAATGCTTTTTTTTTTTTTTTTTTAAGAAAGTCTCTTATGCTCACCACGGCAGCAATTATTCAATTAAAATACAGTAAAAACAGTAATAGGGTGAAATAATGTATTACTATTTACAACAACTGTTTTCTATTTTAATATATTTCAAACTGAAATTTATTCCTGTGATTCTTTCAGAAATCATTCGAATATGCTGATTTGGTGCTGATGAAACATTTCTTCTTATCATCAAACTGAAAACTACATATGCGCACTTTTCTGATTCATTGCTCCAAATGAAAATTCTAGCGTGCCAGATCGAACCAAGCAGAGCTTAAAAAATTCGAAAGTTCACCAGTGAATCCCCCTCATCCAATTGTGACAAAAGTCAGTAAGTAATACTTATTTAAATGCACGCTGTTAGCATTGGGATAAGGAAGGTCAAAAATAATTTGTTGGTGTTTCATAGCATGCTGTTTGTTTAAGTGTTAAATAATAAATTGTGCAACAAAAAACAACCAATCCCAGCTCTAAAGCCAAATCAACAGCAGGAAAAACGACTTGAGGTACCTGCACTAGCTTCCCAGCCACAACTTCTGATGGTACAACGCCGATGAGCAACCCAATCCCTGTCACCGAGACACCCCGTTTCTCCGCTTCCAAGTGTCTGAATTGCTATGGAATGGCAGAGAGACAGCTGGCAGTTAAGACATGCCCGCTACCAGACATTGAGAACAGAAAGAGAAAAGGAGAGACACAACCATTCAGAAAGAGAGGCGTTAAATGCTATCTTAAGAGGGACACAAAACACCTTATTCATTACAATAAGTAGAGGGGAAAAAAAGCTTTCCAAGCTTTGAGCAAGTGAAAGATTCAAAATGTTATCATACCAAGACTGAGTTTTACTAAATGGAAAAGAGCAAAGACAAAACAACAAATGTATTAAAAAAACAAAGCCTTACATCTATGGCATTGTATGCATCGATAAACAGATTGCGACCGCTGATGCTACAATACATGCAGCCCAAAGTCAAATAGAGACAAAAGGAGAAGAAGTAACGATGATTGTAATGACCAACACAGTTGTTAAGCCAAGCTGAATATAAATAATTAAGGACTTAACTACACAGAAGTGGAAATATATGAAATGGATCTGGGCTGTTAAAGGAATAACTCACCAAATTTAATTTAAATTCTATATAAATTCAATTTAAATGTAAATCTGTAAAATGTAAATGTTACTTACTCACATTTGTGTCATTCTAAACATTTACTATTTTTTTTACCACTGTGGAATGCAAAAGGGAAACTGGAGAGCAACAATGCCTGTCAGTTTTTCAGCTGCCTTTTCAGTATTTTTCCAATATGAATTTTTATAAAGTCTTTTGTTACAAAGTTACAAAGCCATGAACCAAACCAACCAGCAACGAGGTGATTCACAAAATTACTCATTTTAATTTGAAGCAAAAATGTATTTGAAAATCGGACAAAAAAAAGGGATAGTTCTGTTAAACGTAAAAGAAGATATTTTAAAGAATGTGGTAACCAGTTTCTGGTCTCAAGTGACTTCCATAGTATTTTTTTCCATTCTTTTATGTTCAACAGAAGAGAGAAATGTTAAAATTTTGGGGGTAAAATATCCCTTTAATGGTTTTATTATGGGAATGAACTAAAATTCCATGAAGCATTGCGAATGATAATCAAAATAAAATAAAAAACAAGTGATTATTATAAAACTACTGATTTAAAGATGTTGAAATATATTAAATGTTTATTGCAAAATGAATACATTACAAATATTTAAGTAGTTTGAGATTGTAGGGAGATTTGCTCAAATATGTTATTTGCAGTGCTTCATGGGAGTGGGGGGAGTGGTGGTGGGGGGGGGGTTTAGTTTCTCTGATTAATAGGGATTTTTCTTCAGAATCAAGAGTAAAGTAGTTTTTCACAAGGAATTCTGTTAGTAAACATGATTACTTAAAAATAAGCTGAAATAATGTGAGCTGATGGCTTTAAACAAAAGCATATGCCATAAATTAACATTCTCATAGCTCACAGAAGGCTGTCTTTAAAGCTTTATAAGTTGTCATTAAAAAAAACTGTTGAACTCTTTAATAAAAACTGTTCTCGTCTGTCTTTTCCATGTAATTCTAGTGAATGAATGCAATACAACTTGTGCATATACAAGTTTGCAACAACATGTTAATGTGGGGTGGGGGGGGGGGGGGGGGGGGGGGGGGGGGGGGGGGGGGGGGGGGGGCTAAAGTGCTCTTTTGGGGCAATCGGTTTAGTTTCTCTGATTAATAGGGATTTTTCTTCAGAATCAAGGGTAAAGTAGTTTTTCACAAGGAATTCTGTTAGTAAACATGATTACTTAAAAATAAGCTGAAATAATGTGAGCTGATGGCTTTAAACAAAAGCATATGCCATAAATTAACATTCTCATAGCTCACAGAAGGCTGTCTTTAAAGCTTTATAAGTTGTCATTAAAAAAAACTGTTGAACTCTTTAATAAAAACTGTTCTCGTCTGTCTTTTCCATGTAATTCTAGTGAATGAATGCAATACAACTTGTGCATATACAAGTTTGCAACAACATGAGTGTAAATAAATGACAGAATTGTCATTTTTGGTGAACTATTCCTTTAAACTGAATGTTTAACTGTGTAAAAACAGCAAGTAAATAAGAATTTTAGAGTAAAATAAGACCAAATGGGTGCACTTTTTACAAAATGTCTGGATTATTGTGATTTAAAAAGGATACGGCAATGATGATCCATTTTTAGAATACAGCTGTAGAGAAAGATATAGGGATGTTTATACATGGGAGTTTCTTACAATAATGGTATACAATGCAGCTGACACCGAGTCACCAGTTAGATTTTATAAACCTGTTTGGACAGAGAAAACGGTCTCTCTTACGTTTTACAGATGCCACAGTGGTGACTTCGCGCTGGTTTAGGAATGACACACTTTTTACAGAACGACACAAACGGGACATCATTTTTCATCTGAAAATCAACGGGGAAAAAAGAAAGATGAGCTGTCAGGTCATGAATAACACTGAACACACACATCTGCTCTACTGGATTGTGGCATCTTTAAGGGTGCCGAACCTTTGGAGGGTATCCAGGGGGAGTTTTTGTGGCCTTGTAGTAATGGAAGACTATCATGACCAAGTTCCAATGTCCGTAACAAATGTGCCACATCATCCAGCCAGGAGAGTATGTTTGGAGGACCAACGGTAGAAGGCAGAAGTAAGCGATGAAAACCACAGAACTGGTAAGAGCTACTACTAAAAACACAAAAACCTGAAGAGAAAAGGAAAAAAACACAGGGTGTAAGAGAAACAGACAATGTAACAAAATAACATGATCGTAATCATGAGAAATGAATGGATTTACCATTCCAAACCAGCGTGTGACAACCTCCACCATCCAAAACACTGGTTCAAGGATGCAGTCCAGCACCACTTCAGAGTTAGTGAGTGAGTTAAAATAAAGGGATTTGAAGATCAGTTTGATGTAGCTCACAGGCCGCCTTAGTCTTCTGGGCATGCGACTGCGACTGTGCCTGCCACACCCGCGCATGCATCGGAGCAGCAGGTGCATGACAGTAGAGCAGGGACGCATGTTTAGCCCCTGTAAAGACAAGATCTGATCTTTTAATAATCTGTTCAAACATCCTGAATATCGGCACAAGCAAGTTCCTCTGCCTACGGCCTACAATTTGCTCACTGACAATTGCCCTCGTGCCGAACCTGTAAGCCAATTAGATTAACCAAGTATCCACCTAAGCACAGTTGGTGTGATTGATCCAAACCAATAATGCAAGCAATGGTTTAGTTTTCTGATACCCCCCTAAAACTGCGATAAAATCAACTCATGATGCCGCTGGATGTTTTTATTTCGGGACAGATGGAGACAAATAAATAGAAGCAGTAGTTTCTATCCCTTTGAGCGGTGCGTTCCAAACGGGATATATCACCCTCCGAAGGAGGGATTAGGGCATAGGGATGAGCCCTTCCGAATGGAACGCAGGGCATGTCTGACGCTCAGGGATGTGAACTGTCACGCTTGGAATTCTGGGAATTGGAGTTTAAGGCGTGAAAAGCAGACATATTATCTGGGAATATTTTTATAATGTATATTTTTGTATTATTAATTATAAAAATTACGTTAAGTTGTGTGGCATTTAATGAAATAATCGTACTTCAGTTCGATTTTTCATAAGATTTAAGACAAACGGCAGCAGAGAATGGTGGGAATTGTAGTTTGAGTCATGTCAAAGTCTTTTTCGCGAATCGGTTCTTTCGAACACCTTTCAAAGGAACAGCTCAAGAAACAATTCAGTGATTCTTTTACATCCGAGCGTGGGCTCTAAAATCAGAGATGGTCTTATTAATTATAGCCATCAAGTGGCTTTGCTCAAATCTGCTCTAGAACGGCCCAATAAAGGCATATTACGTGTTTACGGGTTTATTATGTGTTCTTTTCTATAACGTTGTACTATTACAATGTAGTGAAATTGAATGTCTCCCAGTTTGTTGCAGTCATGAATAACCAGTCCATAAAAAGTATTTAAACCTATTTAAAACACAATTATAATTTACGTTTACATTGCTAATTTTTTCATCTGTTGAAAAAATATAATTTACATCTGTTGGCTGAAAATGTGTTTTTATAAAAAGCTGTTTAAATAACTCGGAACTATTTCTGAACCTGTTCAACCAATGCATTGAAAAGATCCGACTCAAAAGAACAATTAGTTCAGGACTCGGACAACGAAAGTAGATGTTCACACGTGCTAAGGCACTACGTGGGTCGAAATAGTGCAAGACATGGCATTCAGTTTCAACTTCGATATTCCTTTACGGACAGAAGAAACAAACGATAAAGAAAACAAAGACGACAAAGCAAAAGATGTGGATCTTAAGTGCTCGGTAAGGGAATTTATCATTAGCTTGTTAAAACTGGCTATATCTTTGCTAACGCTGGAAGACAGCAGACTTTAAGATCTAAATGCTTGAAATGTACAGCACACTTTAAATTCTAGGACTAAATGATACTCCATTTTAACAATTAATGTGAAAGCGTGAATCAGCAATATGTGGGTGTACAGTAAGATTTGATTGCTCCTGTTAAGATCAAATGCACATTGTGTTTTTTTTCATAGGAAGCCAGTGCAACCATCTCAAAGAAGATTAAAGATGCTGTGGAGCACCAACTTTTGTTGGATCCTCTGTCCCACATTGAGAACTGGGTGCCTGAAACCATCACCATAGGTGCTCTGCCTCCCCTTCTCTGTCTCAACGAATCAGTGTTTGAGAAGACTGCTCCTGAACGAGAGGACAGTGAGGAGATACTGGCCAAAACACTGACTCAAAACTCTGACCTCATCTCTGGAGTCTATGAGGGTGGACTTAAGATATGGGAATGCACTTATGACCTTCTTGAGTACATTGATGATGCAGGAGAGACCTTCGCTGGGAAAAGAGTGTTAGACTTGGGCTGTGGAGCAGGTCTACTTGGCATACTTGCATTGAAGAGAGGAGCCACCAAAGTTGACTTCCAGGATTATAACAGCACTGTGATTGTGCAGTTAACAGTGCCAAATGTCTTTCTCAATTGTGAAGAAGATGATGAGAACAAAGAGAAAAATAGCAGCCCACCGTCTAAGAGGAAAGCCCCCCTGAATGCATCAGAGAAGTTACTAGATCGTTGTGGTTTCTTCTCGGGCGACTGGAATTCTTTTCTCAGACTTATGCAAAATAAAACACCATTGCCGAAATATGACATTATCTTCACATCAGAAACCATATACAACACAGACTACTACTCTTCACTTCATAATGTGTTTTGTGACCTGCTTGATGAGAATGGTATTGTTTATTTGGCAACCAAATCTCACTATTTTGGAGTAGGAGGTGGCCTTCATCTGTTTGAGAAGTTTGTGGAGCAGAATAATGTCTTTCAAATCAGATATTTGAAGGATGTGGAACAAGGCCTGAAGAGACATGTTGTATCATTGACATTCAAAAAGTGACATTCAAATTTTATTAATGTGCCTGTGCTATTATGGTGCAAGTTAACATAAGATAATGGATGCTCATTCCTTTTAGGCCAGAAGGATTGACTATGGGATCCTAAATTGTGCTTGGTGTAAGCAACTAATGTTAAAACAGCAAGTGCACAATCACTGAAACAGGAGCTTGGTGAAACAACAGATTTGTTAGTTAAAGTCAATGTTCAATCTGCAATAAAGCCCAGCAAAACCATCATCAACAAGACAAGAATTGACATAAGTTTACATGTACCACCCCATATCTCTACAATTTATTAAACATGGTCACACGACATTCAAAAAGTGACATTCAAATTTTATTAATGTGCCTGTGCTATTATGGTGCAAGTTAACATAAGATAATGGATGCTCATTCCTTTTAGGCCAGAAGGATTGACTATGGGATCCTAAATTGTGCTTGGTGTAAGCAACTAATGTTAAAACAGCAAGTGCACAATCACTGCAACAGGAGCTTGGTGAAACAACAGATTTGTTAAAGTCAATGTTCAATCTGCAATAAAGCCCAGCAAAACCATCATCAACAAGACAAGAATTGACATAAGTTTACATGTACCACCCCATATCTCTACAATTTATTAAACATGGTCACACAGGCCAACAGACTCAACGCTGGTTTAATGTGAAAGGAAATGTACTTGAAGATGCCACATTGACAACACTTGACCAAACATTCTTCAAAAAGTGGAGACAAAGTAAATTCTGGAATGAATTATATAAAAACAAATCCAAACAAAAATGTGTGGTCCCTGTAAACTGTTTAACTAATAAATACTCACAACCATTCCAAAATTCTAATATTTCAAATTGGTTACATATAGGTCCTATACTTTTTTTTACTTGTATATACTTCTTCTATAGAGCTCTGTCTCATTGATGTTAAATATGGGAGTCTTGTTTAAAGTAATTCAGTGCTGACGTATAATTAAAAAGTATATAATCTATTTCTTGGCTTTCCCCTGTGCTGCCACAGCCTCCATGGCTTTGCGAACAGTTTCCTCGTCTCCGAGGAACTGCATTGGCTTGATGGGCTTCAGGTTCTTGTCCAGCTCGTAAAGAATAGGGATGCCTGTGGGCAGATTCAGCTCCATGATGGCCTCCTCAGACATACCTGTGAGTGAGGAAACAAACTATGTGACTATTGAAGAAATGAAATCTAAATCATTTGTGGTGACCCCGCAAGCCATTTTTATTTTTATATGATCCATTTCCATTTTAAAGTTTGAGTAACTAACTTTTGTGTTTTTGGCTTTTGTATTAATTTTATTTTAATGTGTCTAAATAGTTATTCATTTATTCAGTTTTAATTTTAGTTATTCTAGTACATCAAGTTTAATTATATGAAAATGAGAAATGCCTTGGTAACTAGCAACTTTTGACTTCATACCAACTTTAAGTAATTTTATGGAGAGAAACTCAAAAAAAGAGCAATTTCTCGCTGATTAAAAACAATATATATATATATAAAGATCTTATTAATTTCCATGACTTTTCCAAACCTGGAAATCATATTTAAAGTATTTCAATGATGGTGGGAACCTTCAATAAGAGATTGAAATAATACTGTGGGATAATTACCTTCTAAGTGTTTCACAATGCCTCTCAAACTGTTTCCATGAGCAGCAATCAACACTCTCTTTCCCTCCTTGATTTGAGGCACAATCTCCTCATTCCAGAAAGGTAGAGCCCGTGCAATTGTGTCCTTCAGACTCTCACAAGAAGGCAGCTGGTCCTCGGTCAAATCAGCATAACGTCTGTCCTATAGGAAGACAAGACATCCCGCAAGATATAAAATTGGTGCATTAATCAAACATCACTATGTAATAGTGCTGCTCTTTTAGGCTAATAGAAATTCTTGACTTGTTTGTTTGTTCTAGGTCATAGGAAAACCCGAGTGCTTGAATGTTATCAACATTTGTAAGCAGTTTCCTATACAAATAAGGTTTGACCTTTGATTTCTGACTCTTTGCACTGATTAACTACTAGGGACGTCAATTTCAATGTGTGACATCAACATGACAAATTGCAACATGTAATTGAAAACTTGGTTTTCAAACTCACGAGTTGGGATAATGCATGTTATAATGACTTATGAACTCTGTGATTTTCGTTGTACGGGATGCAAGAATGCAGATAATAAAAAAAAGTTGATAGGCATGCTGTCACTGGGCAATATCATCCATTCAGAAAGCTCAAAACTGAACACACCCCCTAGAGTAGCAGCTGTGAGACCATGTGCATTTATACACTTACAAGTTATTGTTTCTTATATACTGTATTTTGAGTAATCTATGGAATCTGAGGAGGGGAAGTGACTAATTTTAATGACAAATACATCTAAAATATACTTATGAATGCAACAGATTAGGTGCTTAAAGTACCATAATGAATAAAAGAGGCTGAAGACCCCACCTTGCTGATGATGCTGTAAAAGTCATGATCTGCATCCATAGTTGGTGGAGGGATGTCATAGGAGCGCCTCCAAATCTTAACCTGGGCTTCACCGTGCTTGGCCGCAGTCTCAGCCTTGTTTAACCCAGTCAGACCACCATAATGGCGTTCATTCAGGCGCCAGGTCCTGTGCACAGGCAGCCACATCTGATCAATACTGTCCAAAACAATCCATAACGTCCGGATGGCCCTCTTCAGTACCGAGGTATAACAAATGTCAAACTCAAACCCTGCATCTGCAAAGACACAGTATAGACTTAATATGAAACACGGAATTCAACATAATACAACTTAATATATTGTGATCAACATTTATTTTTCTTATTAAAATATTATTTAATAAACATTTAATACAGCATAGCCCTAATACGGAATTAAAAACTATATAAATGAATATTACAATAATTTAAAAAAATTAAATTATAGAATATTAATTGTAGATATATATATATATATATATATATATATAAAATGCATAACTGTAATCACGTCAAAAAGTCATTTTACGCATCCCTGACTGGTAAATTCTGCACGTGAACAAAATCACGTCCTGTGTTGCGCGTTCGCAACGGGTAGGCCCCGCCCTCATTCCGTCAGTAATTATGCACCAAGAGCTTGTAACACTCTAAAGAGAAAGGAAAAAATGAAATCGCATCATATGACCCCTTTAAAACACAAATATCTCAATGCAATCATTAATAAGACAAAGCGGGCTAAGTGATACCCAATTTATACATAATGTACATGTTCTTTCAAAAATGAATCTAGATCTAATCTTCTGATATACTTAGGACGGCAGATTTACAACGCTCATTCACAATGCTGGAAAATATAATACTATACAAATCTTTTAAAGCTTGACCGCCTTTCTTTGCCTCGTGAACCCCTGTCTCGCTCAGGTCCGCGTCAAACCAGCCACAGAAGCGATTCTCCTGGTTCCAGCAGCTCTCGCCATGGCGAATGAGAACCAGCTTGTATGCAGCCATCTGAGATATTCACAGAGACAAATACTAAAGGTAGCAGCTGAAGACAGCACGGTGAGCTCTGAGCGCTGGTCGAACAGGTTGTTAAGCTCTGTAAAGCGTACTGTCAAAAAGACCCTCCTTCTTCTTCTTCTTTCAGGTTTAATGGCGGTTGGCAACTCAAAAAGACCCTCCTTCTTCTTCTTCTTCTGATGTTTATTGGCGGTTTTGGCAAACCAAAAGACCCTCCTTCTCATCTGAGTCCGTAATGAATGACGTTCAGACCGCCCCATCTCAACGCTCAACCAATCAAAGCCTCAGAACGATGCACAATTAGCCTTTTTCACACTTCCGGGTTTTGTGTTTCCGGCGTTCGCTAACGCAGGGTAAAGTTACTTCCGGTAACAATGGCGGAGTCTAAGAATAAGTGTTGCCATAGCGTCCCTCAGTGCACCAATTCTAAACAAAAACAACCATATTTGAGTTTTCACGGGTATCCTTTAAACGAAGACCAAAAAAGGAAATGGGTCGTCGTTATTAGACGGGAGGAAGGGTTTACGTTCGTAATTCGGAGAGGTAGCACATATGTCTGTAGTCAGCATTTTACCGCTGCCGATTACGTTACAGGAAGTTCGCGGCTGAGCGTTGGTGCCATTCCCAGTCGTTTCCCATGGAACAATTTCCATGTACCCCCTCAAAGTGAAACTGCAAACACGGCATGGGGGAAAAAACGTGACCTTCCTGTAATGCCTCTGCATATATTATATTAAACCTCCTGTAGCATTTTGGGGTTCAAAATATTTTAGCAAGAATAAGAAGGAGTATAATACATTTCATCGTTCATAGTTCATCGACCCTACCAGAGATATGCATTAAACTGAGGAAGGATTAGTAACTTCCCGTTAGAGGTCATTGGGTGTATCTTGGAGATGAGGTTCTGGAGAGCCAATCAAAAGTTACTTATGTAGGTGTGGGCGGGGTTTAGTGCGGATGTTTCTGAAGCCTGAACTGAGCGTGTTTATCTAACGTTACTCGAGTCAATGATGCTGTTGGAGTATGAATGAAACAAATAAAAAATAGTAACTATGAATCTTCAGTATTTTGATAGTAACTGTTAATCTTTAGGATTCTACTTTTTTTCTCGAAATATATGTACCTAACTGCAGATCTGACCATATTCTGATGACCATAAATGACTCATGATCACTCATTATGAATCAGAATCAGAATCAGAATCAGAATGAGCTTTATTGCCAGTCTGTACACAACCTGTCATTGATGTAAAAGCATGTCCCGCCGCCGCGCGATTTCCCCGTTGATTCTGCGTCGCGATCTGCTCTAAACAGCTGAAAGCCCGGCAGACTCAACGCGCTGTCCGGAATGGCGTCTTTCAGCCAGGTTTCCGTGAAACACAGAGCAGCAGAGTTTGAAAAATCCTTATTTGTCCGGGAGAGCCGAAAACTGAGAGAGCCGAAAACACTGAGTAGATGGAAAACTGCATTTGCCACACCTTTTATTCCAGTGGATATTTTTCAGGGTTGGTTCTTTTTGAAAATCAGTTTTGTAAGAACTCATACCTAAAAGTCCTGCCAACAAAAAGCTGAACATTTTCCACCGTTATTGCCTACCTCATAAAGTCACTGGAATAACAGACAGTCCTCATAATGTGACATGCATCCCAAATGTGGATTTATAAAAAAAAAAAAATAGGGCAGGGACTTGGTTCTATGCATCGTTGTTGTGAGCATTGGAGCTAAAATAAATTCCTCATTATTCCCTTCCCACCAAACTAAACCTATAAAATAATATGCAGATTTCACTAAATACTGTATACATTTATTTAATATCTT